CGTATAAAAAAACAACGAAATTCAAAAAGAAAAGAGAGATTGAAGATAGTGTATATAACAAATGAAGCTATGTTAAATACAAATGAGTAAAGAATATTATATTTATGTATAGCTTTATAATATAGTATAATAATCAACAAGCTTTTTTTAGTAATAATGAATAATCATATTAAGTTGTAATGTAATTTATGCTTTATATTATAAAGGAATTAATAAAGTAGGATTACAAGTATTAAATAAGGACGATGACTTTAAGCCTTATACTAATACTTCAATATATAGGGGCTTGTAGAAGTAAGAGATGTGTAAAGAATGTAGGGTTTTGGGGGAATCCCGATTAAAGCTGAAGGTTATGCTTATATAATATAGTCAAAAATCGAACCTTTTCGGATTTAATAAGGGTCCTATAGATACTCAAAATCCCTATATATACTATCCTTTAGGTAATAGGCAATAGGAATAACAAATACAATTCAACTCTTCTTATAATATTATATGATTTATTTCATATTATTAATCATATTACTTATAACTCCTTCTTTCTCAATAATTTCATTATATTCATCTATAAGTACTAAAGATTTATATTAAATTGATTCTTAATTAGAATCAATGTGTTTTTAAAAATGTTTATGTAGAGAATAATATATTAATATATATATAAATTCTTTTTGCTCTGTTTTATTACTTGGTTTTATAATTTTTAAATTATATTTAATACTTTTAATAAAATCTTTATAGAATTTAATAACAACTAGGGGGAGATATTCATTAATATCTATGAAATTAATAAGTATATAATTAATAATATAATAGGAAATATACTCTAAATTTCATAATCTTCTAAAAATTACTTATAAAGTTTAAATAATACTATTCTTCCTTTATTCGTATATTCCTCTTCAAAATATCAATATAATATAAAAGATTTACCAATATAATAATAAGGTTATATTTTATCCTTTTAAATTATATAATAATTCCAAAAATCTATATATCCATCTACTTTTTCTTTTATTCATTTAATATAAATAATGAGAATAATAATCTAATCTTTATATTTATCTTTATAAAATTGTTCATTCTTTATTAATTCTTCAAAATAATTCAAAATAATATTAATAATTAATTATATAATAAATGAAAAAACGAAAAAATGAAAAAAAAAATAGATTAAATATAATAGATCAAGAAAAATTTTCAGTTATTTCTATAAAATGAAATAAGGAGTAAAGAAATATATTCTTTATTAATATAATAATAATCTTTAAAGCTTTTACTACCAACTCTCAATATATTAATTTCTAATACTCTTTTTAAATTAAAAACAATCCTTAATTTCTTTTATACTTTTATCAATTTTACAAAAAAACATAAAATAAGCTTTGACTATAAAGAAAAGCTTTATTCCCCTATCTACTCTGAAAACCCTCGGTATTACACTACTTTTAAAGTATTATACTAAATATTAATATATAATCAACCCTAAACATCTATTGAATATCCCTATATATATCTATATAATGAATCGGGAATATATATTAACATATATATAAATCTCAATCTTAACAAGAACTAATTTATTATGCCCATTAATTAACCAAATATAATTCGATTCAGAAATTCGATATTCCTTACAAATAGATTAAAGTTGTTTTATATATTTATAAATACCTTTAGGGTTTATAACTCAAAGTATATTAAATAGTATATTTCTAAAACAAATATAAAATATTAGTATAAATATATCTTATAATTTTGAATGAAAAAATGAATATTATACCATAATACAAGCTTCTCTTTTCTTTAAAAAAAAGTATATAATAGTCTTTTATTATACCCTTGAATATATTTCAATTCAATATTGTTTTTTAGAATATTAAATAAATATTAATCTTGTTTATATTATTCTTTAAATAAAAGCTTTTTATAAAGTCTAAATAATAAACATATACTTTTAATATATTTTATAAATATATTATAGCTATTAGCTTTAAAAGCTTTCTTTATTTCTTAATTATTAAATGATAAAGAGAAATATATAGTAATCTTGCTTTTTAATATAGAATTATTATAATCGATCCTAGGCTTTCGACTGATCCCTCAAGTATTAAGGTATCTACTAATAATTCTAACTTCAACTTTAACATTAAATTCAGAAAAAAGTAACTATTTGATATTATGAATATTATATTTATTATTATATTATTCACAAATTGACTCTTTATATTAAGTTAATAGGGCTTAAAGTTGAATTATTATAATTGTATAAATAAGATTGTATAAAATGAATAAGAAAAAGTTGAAGAAAGTTGAATATTTATAAAGAAATAGTATACTAGCTTCTATAAAGTCTAAAAAGAGGAAGGGGGTATTAAATTACAAAAGTAATATAATAATAAATAATATTGATTCTTATTTATATACTTCTGAATACTAAATACATTTTTATTTCAAATAGAAATCTATTTTTAGGGTTTTGGCCATATTGACCAAATCGGCCTCGGTATAGTCCCCAATTGATATAGAAGTAATGATTTGTAAGCACTACAAATCAATCTCAACATGTAATTTGCTATGAAACCAACGACATATAAACAAACTCAAGAACCATCAAAATTCATCTTCTGAGACCGTTGATGACGTTCTCAGCAGCGTTGGTTCCTTTCATGACAGTGTTGGTTCGACTCTTTTCCTGTACAACTACCTCGCCACATCGGTTTGTTGGCTCCCGACCGGCGACCACCACAAGGCCATGGTCAATGAGGACAACAACTATCTCTAAGGCTGTCATACCATACTCGCGCGGTTATTACTGCTCACAAGAAACTACACGCGATATATTCACGATAAAGTAGGCAGATGACTTGAAGAATGAACTCAGCGAGGCCGCGTCCATATATTATGGAGATCTCCAGCTGGCTTTCTTTTCGGTCTGATTTTCTCTTTCAGTAACTACCTTATCAAGTATCCAATCTTCAGTAGCCAACATGGTCTTTGGATGGTCTTCCAGAACTGCTTTACCACCCACAGTTGGGTCAACAGATGGAAGGAATGGTCATGATTATACCTCTCCACACTATGTTTGTATGGCCCGATTTCTTTCTCTTCCAACCCGTGCTCGATAAACATGTGAGTCAACTGCGCCCTCATACAAAGCCGTACATTAGGTAGCTGTTTCTCAAATTTAAATGTAGTTTTTAATATCTATTTTCGAACCTCAATCTCTTGGATCTGATTCATCTTAGTGGCTAAGAACAATTATCTTTAACCTTCAAAATGACTTCCGAAGATTCAACACTCAAATCACCAAGACTTCACCACATAGATACATCATCTAATGGCGGCGTTTCTGGTCCTTTCTGGGACTCAAACGAACGTTGCTTTTGGCTGATGAATAATCGTCAAATCTACACACATTCTGAAGATTACAGCGGAAGTTCCGCTTGCGCAACTATCGCATCCGCAAACCCTGATTCTGCTTACCCATCCGGCTGGTCTAGGGGTCAACGCACACGATCACGATCAGGTTCTGACAATTCACCAAATTCAGCATCACATGAATCTAAACGCATTCGCCCGGAGTCTCTTGGCAGTGCACCCCCAAAGAACACACAATCCAAACAGCCTTTGCGCCAGGGTACTCCAGAACAACAACGCAAGTTCCCACAGTACAATTTATCCAATCTTCCACCTCCACCCCCCTTCCCTCCTCAAAGATCCCAATCGGTTCGTTTTTCCCCAAATATATCTTATTCGGATGACCCTGTGAAGAAACATAACCCAGGACCATCTCTACCCAGCTTCCCTCAACGCTCGCAATCTGTCCGCGTCTCAAACGAGCACGATCAAAGCTTCACTCGTTCCAGAAATCCATCCCCCTCTTCTCCCCCATCTTCCTCTTCACGTCCCCACCATAAACCCCTTCCCACCCGTCCCCAATCATTCCCAACCTCAACCTCAATCTCACCATCATCATCATCATCATCATCAACAACAAAAACAACAAACCCACCCTCAAAACTCCCCTCTCCCTTCCCCACCCCCTACAGCACCCACCCCCCAACCACCCGCTACACCCCTCCCCACTACCTCCGCGACCCCGAACACGAAGACGAAGATTTCTCCTCCGCCTCCTCCTCCTCCGCCTATTCCTACTCCAAATCCCCCTCATCCTCCTCCTCCTACTCCCACCACCGCATCCCCTCTTCCCGCGACCGCCACGAATCCCAACGTCAACGCACACACCACCGTCGCATCGAATACGACTACGACACCGATACCGATCTCTCCGATCAGAAAGAAAAGAAACTCAGAAGACAGAAACGTACTCGTGAACGTACCCCCGATGAACAGAAGAAACATGAGAAAACTCTAAAGGGTATTGGTGAGACGGGAAGAGGAGATATGGGACGAGCGGCTTTGTTGGGAGCCCTCCCTTTCGTGTGCCTTTTGGCGAGATTGGCGGCTTGATGTTTTTCCTTCTTCTCTTCCTCTTTCTAGCTTTCTGGCTTGCCCACACTCTTTTACTTATCATTGGTTGGCTCTTGGGATTTGGTACGGGGAGCTTAGGTTTGACTTTGGATTTATGAATAAATTGTGGATTGGCGGGTGAAGTCTTGGAGTTTAGGTGTGTCTATGTAGTCGTCACGCGGCAGCCACTCTTTCAGCGATTCATAAGAATAGTAGAAGATAAATATTTATTTCGAAGAACTTGAAACCCAGTCTTGTAAAATCTTCCTTATATATTATAACATTGATTCATTCGTTCGACATCCCAGATGTGCTCTATCTTCGCCACGTACCCAAATCTATGTAACTAATGTAAAAATCCACGAAGAGAAATAATCAAGAAAACCTATTGATTATCCATTGTCATAATGTTATTATACTTTGTGCATATCTCCCATCCCATCACATCCCGGAAATGTCCCCTTGGTTCCCATCAAGAATGTAAATATAACTCCACTCACGCATCCTATCAATCTTCAATCAATTCATCACATGATTACGCATTTTGCGGCATTCTTCTTCTGCTGCGGCTGCATCTCTGCATCTTCTACTACAATCGCTGGCGAAGTAGCAGGTCGCGAATCCCATGTTACGTCTGTCCAGCCTGCACTACTTGCCACATCACTTTTGTTCTTAGTTCTCTTTGCCATCATACTCTTTCTCCAGCCGTTTTTCTTAGCATTTTTGACGTTTCGTGACGCACTGCGCTCTGCTCTGCTTGGTTGTCTGGAAATAGGTATCGGCGGTATATTGTAAGGTGAGGTAACTCGAGTAGAAGCTGCGCTATGGATTGTCTCGAGACGTTGTAGAGGTGGACGTAAGCCGTTTGGCGATGCAGAATATCTTTGCGAACCAAGGCTAATTCGCCGAGAAGGAGAAGCATGACCAGAAGAAGGACGAAGGCCTGTATTTGGACGGGTAGGGCTTGCCCCGTGAGTTCCAGCGACTGCACGGGGTGGTGTAGACAGGTGATTTGATTGCTCAGGAGCAGTATGAGAAACTTGTCGAGATTGGTTGCTAAAACCTTGAAGTGGTACAGAATCTCGAGGGTTAGAGCCAGAACGACGTCGAGATGGATCCCTTAGAATATCTGGACGTCCACTTCGGCTATTGAATCGCGCCAAAAGATCGGCACTAGGCATCACTAAACCAGAGACTCCGTCCACAGGAACCTCCACAGGTGCAGAATTGATTCTTCTCCATATAGTGATAGGCTCATCAGTAGACTCTGAGATAGCTGAGCTGGGGGAAGTGTCCCCCGCCCGTGGAAATGTTGAGCTTTGCTGTACGGGCCATAAATCGGGCGGTCCCTGTGCTGGTACTGTGAGTGAATTAGAATTTAGTTGTGGAAGATCAGAGTCGTCTCCTTGTTCTGCGGCTACAGCAGTCGTAGGTCTGCTATTTTGCATCAGAGAGACTTTGTCATCAACTGTTGTAGTTTCCCAATCTAGCAAGCGCCTGTCAAGAGTTGCATTCATAGGCTGAGGAATTGGGGAGACAGGCGATTGTAACGTGGCTCTCATAGATGAGCTTGAGTTATAATCGAGCGTGTTATTCTCAGCATCGTTGAGTTCTACAGGAAGTCGGGAGCTTTGCTGGGGCAAGGGCCTTGTGAGGCTTGGTTGTGGAGTACCGATTGGGGAAACATCATAAAGGCTGTCAAAATCAGAGGTCGTAGGACGTTCATCAAAGTTTGCAATGGAAGGACTTGTCACCGGTCGAGCTACTTCGTCATCCACAGGATTAGTCATGGAAGGTACAGTTGTTATATCGCTAAGTGATCGGCGAAAGGGGTGCCTTTGCTCCCGTAAAGCTTCGGGAAGAGGTCGTTGAAGAACTGGGGCATCTAATCCTGGGAAGTCAAGGACTGTAGCTCGTTGATTGTTTGCTGCTTGCATAATCCTTGCATGGTCCGCAAGTATAGATCTCTGAATGTGTTCGGGAAGTGGAGGGACCGGATCTTTCTGATAAGGAGGAGGCGGCGGCTCCCAGTTGTCTGCATCGCTTTCATGTGGATGCTCCTCACGGCCATCTGCGCGGCGGTACTCGATACGCTCCTGTATTATAGAGCGAGGATGTAGTCTTCTATTGACGGCAGCAGCTGTTGCAGCGCGGCGTAGAGTCGTACCTGAGCGAGGTGCAGCATTCGCATAGGGATCATCGAAAGCTTCTTGGTCATCATCATATGAAATTGTCTCTGCCGAATCAGTCGTATTTTCTAGGCCGTTCATTTGTCTAGGTAGGGGAGGAAGCGGGACGTTGGATGAATTGCTCAAATTGGGCATTGCAGGAATTGGCGGTGGTTCCGGGCGTGTCATAGTGGTAGTTGAACGAGCAATACTAGCACGGTAACTTCTTCGCTGTGCTACTGTTCTTCTTCTGACAATAGCCACCTCTGTGTCTATGTCCCTATGTTCTTCCTCTAGGATTTCCGGATCGTCTCGTTGGCCCACCTCTATGGTTGTTATGGTTTTCTTGCCATTGCTCGTGCCACAGGAAAAATCTAGTACACAAATACGGCCGCCATCTACCGGACTCATACTATCATCCTCGTCTATGATGCATTGGCGTTTTACTCCTGGTGCAACAGCTATAAGTCTTTCACCTTGGAGCTGTTTTGATTCTTCTTGGACCCAGCTCAGTGCACTTACTCCGTCCAGAGTGGTAATATGATAGCCTTCAACAAATGTATTGCGCGACTTATCGCAGAGGAGTTGCCATTGTGGAATACGAATACTGCTATGGTCCAGAGATCGATTTACAGAGCGTAACGATGGGGCGCTGTTTCGACGTCCAATCTGACTCAGAGGTGTGCTTGGTGCGGTTTCTGCATTACTATTCGAGCCCGCAATGGCAGGTGTAGGATCCAAATTCTCCGGAATTCCCCAAAGCCAAACGCTCCCTCGACTATAGCCAACCGCTGCTAGATCTCCAGACTTGTTTGCTGCCGCTTTTGATGCAGGTGGTTCCCCACTGGGTCCAACAAAATGAACTTTACCATTGCGTAAATCATCCATCCTTACTGCTCGAAAGGTTTCAAAAACTCGATCATATGTGAAAGTCCAGCTTGCTTCGTCATCATGAGGACTGGGTAATAGGACCGCATGACTACAGTCTCGGCTACCAGTGGGGAAGAGTATTGAAGTTGTCCAAAGAGCACTTATGCTATCTTCAGGGGAGACGCTCCCGGGATCATAATATGGCGCGGTCAAGACGACGGTACTAGGGTTTCTAGACTGTAATGTGGTGCCCAAAAGTAAGTCAGAATTACGAGAAAAAGTCAAAGAGTCAACGCCATAGGCCTTTACAGCGCGACTTGTACCGATTTCACGCAGAGAAGTCAATTCTACTCCAGAGCTGTGAGCGGCGGGTTAGCAGCACTTCAACAGGTAAGGAACTTGGTAACAATGAAATTCATGATCAAAGCTTTCGATATGCCCAGAATAGAAGTAAATGGCTACAAGGAGCATAGTAGAAAGGATGATTTAGGAAAAGTGATCAGATGCAATGCACTTACTCATAAGCTGCGGCAAGAACTTGTCCGGTTGGTGAAAGAGCGATGGTCCTTGGTGTATGATCTAGTGTCACAGACCTTGTGTGTTTTGGTGGACGCACAGTTAAGTCGTAAAGGTTGACCTGGAGGTCGGTCGACAATACAGCAAGTAGAGATCCATCATCTGTAATTGTTGTCGCCGCTGGTCGTCGCAAGATCTTAAGTTCTCGTATGATGTGAACCTCCGGGGCTGTGACATCTATGATGTGAATTCGAGATGAATTATAGGCTAGAACCAGAACTCCGCGGGGAGAGATGGAAAAATGGCAGGCTTCACCTCCAGGCGCACTTGATGAGCCTATGGATGTCGAAACTAAATTGATGACCGTCTCTTGAGGTCGTAAATATGCTTCGAATAAATTACGCCTGACCTCTTGGGCGAATAGACCTCGCAGATGTGGAAGGCTGTCCTTATCTTCTAAAGCAGGATTTGTTTTATGTGTGGCCGAGTAGGAAGGGCATTGGGTGAGTTGATGCGAGTAAAGGTAGGCTTGTTGCGAGATGCCCCTCCATCTTGAATTCAGTAGAACAAGGGAGGCAAAGGTATTGGCATTGGTAAGGAGAAGGATTCTATAGAATTTGATTAGATATTTTACATAACATTTAAGGTTAATGCGCTCACTGTAGAATAATATCTTCGGGTAGTCTTTCAAATGCGCTTTTCTCTATCTTGGACGTTTCTGACAATTGTTCCTCACATCCCACAGAAGGGAATGAACATATCGACGCGCTTCGATTCGACATTTTTGTAATTGAAATCTTTTATCGTAAATTCATTTGTGCTGAATTAGAATTACTGTAAGAAAAAAGTATCCAGGAGAGTAAATCTGGCTCGCAGATTCGCATGCGCGAATACGGGTTCGTGGATCTCGACAGGAATATAAATTGAGCTTAAAGCTTAATGCTTAATGTAAGATTGATGTGATAGGAAAGTTCGCTTGAAACATGGTTGTAGCTAAGCCTCCAAGGCTATCACGGCTGTCTTCTCTTTGTGAGTGAATGTTAATAAATTCAAGCGCCTTCACAGCTAATTGAGGGTGAAATAAAATCAAAGTTGTAAGCAATGAAAGATTGCCTGGGGATCAGTGATGATCGACGTCGCATCAACAATCGAGGGGGTCCAGCTTCCAATAATAGCACAAGTAAGGATCGGTCGGAGTAGAAGAACTTTTATTTTTTGAGATTTATACACACAAATACCAGTAGAGTAGGTAGCATGAGGGGGCGAGGAGTTGATATCTTTTGAAGTCGAAGATAAGATTCTTAGCAAATAATAAGTAAGTAGGTGTATATTTCATTGCCTGATATCTATCTATTTACCAATTCCATGTTTACTGTGTGCAGCACCTGAACCTTTTGTCTAGTAAAGATCAAAGGATCAAAATACTTCTTACCCAAGTACCTAGAACGGCAAATTGAAGGACCTCCATTCCAAGTACAAATCAAAATCCTAGACGCTCGGGAAGATGGATCTATGGATTCTACAAAGCTAGTGGTACAAGATCCTACCCAATCATGATATCTACCGCCCAATAAAAGTTTCTGGCTCGATGCTTTGCAGGTGTTGAACTCATAAAGACTCTCTTTTGTGTTGGGTTTATCTACTAGATACTTTTAGAATCTAACAGTTGGTCAATATATCACCCATTGTTATCCAATCAACTACATATATGGTGCGCCATGATATCGGTTGGAGCATCAGAGAGTACCTAGATAGATATGACTTATTAACCATACCAGACTACGATCCTATGAAGAAGAAGTACCTACCTATCTGCTTGGATGTCTAGATATCTAGGAATAGCTCAGTTATAGATCATCCCCATGCGTCTAAAGAGATAAGACATCGATATCGGTATCGGCATCTGGCAGTACGCACGCTTATTATGGTGGCCCGTACGTCTCTACATCGTATTCTCACCGTTCTTCTGACAATTCACGGTAGAACCCGCAAGCGTCAACAATGATGGAGAAAGGATCACTAGATCCTATTTGATGTACGGAGGTAGACGCCCTAATTATTATTGTCTCGCCGCCTTGAATTTGCCATCAATCAGGCCATTCTGCCCATACAAATTAATCCTCGACATTAAAAGCGGTGAGACAAAAATTAGGGCAGGCACCTCCGTATTACATAATTCCTGACTCAAGTCCCCTTATTGGTCATTATATGGAGACTTTCATCACTAGACTGAAGCTCAAGCAAATTTTAGCTTCGCGAGGCCCTTTTCTTGCTTTCCAATCTTCATTCCACCTTCCACCTTCCACCTTACATCTTTCCATCTTTCAATCTTTCCATTCCTACACATTTTTTCATGAACTCTATCATTTCTTTTTCACTGTCTCCTTCTTTCTACACATCATGCCATTGCAAGACCTTGATTATGAAGAACTTACCAATACCTTAATTAACAACTTTAATATTTTAGCAGATGAAGTTCAACTTCTAAGTGATAGAAAGACAATTCTAGAACACAAACTGCGATATTCGCATTCTCAAGTAAGTTTGAATCTTTTCTTTACAACCACACTCCCCTCATGTCTTTTAATGATGTACACAAATAGCTCTAGAACAAAGTTACTTGTTGCAAAGTAGCAATGCCGATAAACTACCAAATTGTCTGAATTTTTTTGACTCAACGTCATTTTGTTATTTCTGAATTAGTTCTGTGCGACCAAGACTAATAAATACCTTAATAGTATCAATCTTTGGCAGATAAATATGCCCCCTCAGACCCTGAGATAGCTAGTACATTGGCAAAGCTTCAACTTCCCCCAGATTTACAAGTAACTGTTCCTGATTGTGGTGGGTTTGTTCCTTTGCCACTTCGTAAGCAACCAACCTCGAAGCAGCAGACTGCCGTTGCAATAAGGGACGGAAGAAAGGCAGCGCAGCGTCTAGCGGCTTTATCTGGAAAGTCTGCCGGATCTACAACTAGTAAAAGTATATCCGGTGGGAGTAGTAATATGAGATTTTCAGCACATCGAACCTCCCTTTCAACTGTTCTCGAACAAGATTTTACTGTGCCTGGAAAGAAGAGTTCATTATTGTGTCCATTTGTAACTATGCCTGACGGAACGAAATCCATGAAGAATCCAAATGCTCAGGATACCAGCACTGGTGAATCCGATCAACCTTTGACTCCTATCGATAACCAAGACCCCACTCCCCACCACTCCTCAGATCCTATATGTGCGCAAATGTACGCCGAGACGATGTCGTCCCCGCCCCCATCAGCATCAGGCCCTGGAGCTCAATGTCCAATTCGATATCTCAATCAGCATTCACCTGAAGAGATAGCACGATACTTTGAAATTCACAAACACGAAGTTCCCCGCAGTCATGAAGTTTGCGTCAAGCGCTATCAACGAAATGAGGATGATGTAAGGATGCTAGATGCAAAATATGGAAACCTCGTGAGCATGATTCAGGGCCTGGGACAAAAACATCAGCCAATGTTACCTACAAAGGAAGAGCAAGAAGCATATGAGGTCGAGCGTGCCTCCAATGAGAGAGTGGAGAATTGGGCAAATAACGTCAGTGTCGATGGAAATGATTCACTGCCTGGATCTCAATCTACTCCCGCAGACGACAGAGAAAGCCGCTTTGATAGGCCAATGAAGGAGGTTAGGGTTGGGGAATCCCCAAGCAGACCATGGGGAATCTCTGTTCCAATCTATGATCAACCACCAGACCACAGACCTGTGTCTCCGCCACCAGCGCCTGTATCGGTTCCTTTGGATAGTTATTCAAAACCTCCCGGAAAATGTCCATTTGGACATACTGCAGGATCGAATGCGCAAGCAAAATCAACACAAGAACTACCAGCGACTCCGGTTGATGCACAAAGACCAGCAGGCTGTCCTTTTGGCCAAGGTCAAAAGGCTGATAAAGAAGAGTCCCCCTCTACGAACTGTGACGCGCCTCCCATATCACACGATCGGCCGGCCTTCATCCGACCCGAACAACTCCAAATGCAGGGTAATGGACCAAAGATGGTTTTTACAGGGCCCGTATTCATAGGATATCCGATCGAACAGGCAGTGGCTTTCATGAAACAGTACCAGGCACAAAATGAATGAATACACGATTTGATGCTGATTTATTGATAGCGAATGTTTTTGGGGTCTGATTTTTAGCGATGGCGTTCTAGCGGTGCATCTGGAGCGGATGCAAATAGCCTACTTTTGTAGGAGTATCATTCTGTTTTCTGCACAACACGGATGCTTTTGGCCGAGACAGGCATACATTAGGACAACTTCATAATGAACAAGGGTTATAAAATACCACAAATTTAAAACGTTCAAATCAAATAATACAAAGATGCTATAAAGCAAGCAAATGTTTTCATTGCATCTTAAGGTGTTGATGGTGTCAAAGGGTTTTATTCTCTCACAACTTCTAACTAGACATCATCGTCTTCTAACGTAAAGAAGACATGCATAAACCATGTACCCTTTAATCATTTCCTTCTTCCGAACGCCAAATTGTGGTGACACAATCAGACCCAACCGAACCCAGTACGATATCCAGTATATATTTCATACAACATGCCTCATCGTGATTTACATACCAAAAACCCAAATGAAATCTACGTTCTGGTTGTCTTTCCGTTCCCTCCAATATCCGCTTCCTCGTCTAAATCTCCATTTGCAAAAACATCCCCTCCATCCTCATCTACAAAATCCGTGTATCCCGTCTGTGCATCTTCGTTGTCCCATAAAGATATATCATCATCATTCATCAATGCCGCATCATCATTGTTAGAGTCGCTGTATTCTGCGACGACTCTTCTCCCAGCAGCCACATCACCATTTGCAGCTTCGAGCTCCTCGATCTCGAGTTCTTTGGCGCGCGCCATGGTGCGCTGGTAGATGATATAGCCAACGGTGGCGCCGAGTCCAGCTCCGATGATTATACTGGCGTAGTTTATTAGTTTGGTGGAGGCATCCATTTCTTCGTCGCCGGCGAGTGAGCCCAGACGACTACCGATGAAAACGTGGATGAGGAGTTTGGGGGTTACCAAGGCGGTAGCGAGAGCATAGTTGAGGGGATGCACGGTGGGGAAAGTGGCGATGGCGGCATTAGAGAGGGAGTATGGGAGGGGACAGAGACGGATCATGCAGAGAATCTTGATGCCATCGTGTTTGAGCGTGAGAGCGAGAGCTTCAAAGCGTTTATCTTTCCCTACGAGACGATGTACATAGCTTGAGAGGATGGTTCGGGAAGCTAGGAATGAACAGAGAGAACCTGCTACTGTTGCGCTCGCCACAATGATCCAGCCTTTGGGAACTCCGAAGACAAATCCGGCAATGGTGATGGTGGAGGAATAGCCTATGAGAGGTGGGAATGCGGCAATGAATGTCATGGCCCATAGAATCATCCATCCTCCCCGCATATCCCGCCAGCGTTCTGCGAATGGACCAAGACTAGCGAAGATCTGATGCTGATAGACTAGAAATAGAACGACGAGAACAATATTAAAAATCACAGCCATGATGGCCAGACATTTTTGTAGAAGAGAAAGCTTTTGCCATGTTGAAACGAGCTTCCGTTGTAATTTATCGACCTTGCGGAGGATTTGATCTTTGAGGGAATTGGTGGGTTGGCTTGAATATGGCGAGGCTGAATGGATTCCTCTTCGCACATTGGAAGATATACGTCTGGACCATGGTGGTCTGTCTGCGTGGTGATCTGGAGAGGAGGAAGACTCGAGAGGACTTATGGGTAAAGCTAATGCTCT